ACCCAATGTGGGAGCTAATCAGTTTTATGTTATTTTACTTTTTGGTTTGTTTTTTTTTAATTTTACTGCTAGAGATTTCTGCATGGCAAGAGAGTAATTATTAACTAGTTACTTGGAATTAGGAGAGAATGCTTAAGATTCAAAACCACAAAAAAAGTGCATGTGCACTTAAAAAAAAAAATACATTCTCAGGAACAGCAACAAAAAGCAAGGGAAAAATTTGGTAAAGATTTAGGGCCTTATTTAGCCTTCACAGAAACCCAACTAAAATCAACAAGGCTAAATCTAGCTGCATAATGGAATAATTTATATGCCTGAAGCAACACAAGGAAATTCAGGAAATACGACCATATTGCAGATTTAAATACACCCTTAAGTATCATCAGAACAAGTTGTCCCTTCGTGCTTTGCTCCGCTGTGGCTGAATGCAGAGAAGTTTAACGTTCACTGAATATTGTTTTAGCATTACGTGGCTAACTACCAGTTTGAGTGTGCAAGCAGCGTGTAGGTGAAGCGAAATGACTGGGAGACAACAGGAAAGAGTTTGTGAATAATAAAACACTGCTAGGGACCTAAATATGAAGTAAGGCTTTCTGTGCACAAACACACGAAGAAGGGTCAGGAAACCATCTGTAAAAATCAGTTTACATTAGCAATTTCTCTACTCAGTTACTACAACAGGATGCAAGTCCTGCAATCTTTAACTCTCACAAGAACGTTTGCTTCTACCCTAACTGTAAAGACGGTTAGATGGTTCCACAGAGAGAGAAAACACTGTTCTCAAGTTTAAGCACACAGCACGCTGTGCTTTCCCAGGGATAGCCTGAGGGCCAAGCACAGGGTGAGTATGTCTCTGTTGAAAACAAAACAAAAAAAAAAAAAACCCAACAAATTCCCCCCGTCCCCAGAAAACCCACCAGAAATTTGTATCATGGAACTATAGGTCTCCCTGTGACATTTTTCTCTTCATTTCCTTAACTGTTTATTGCAGTTACACTTCCCGAAACAACTGCTGTCACTCTGTCGGGGCAGAAGCAGGTTAATAACCAACACAGGCACGGGTCTCTTGCACAACCTGAGGGGCCTCTGTGCACAAGTGAAACACCACCACCAAAATCACCTGGTTTGCACTGAATCCCAGTTGCCTGCACAGATGGAGAGGAAGAGTCAACCCAACAAGCAGAGTATTCCTTTAAAAGATTGCTTCAAAATCACAGGGCTGGCCAGGAGGGGAACGTAGAAAAGGATGCAGGGAGGAGACAGGAACACGTGAGTGCTTGTGGAGAGGGGTACGAAGGAAAGGAGTGGACGTGAGGAGCACTGGGAAACCCTGGATGATTTCAGAATCACAGTATTGAAACAAAATATGGAAAAAGCATTTTTGGCTCAGTTAAAACATGCTTTTTTAGAAGTAAGGGCCACTTTGACAACTGTAGATGTGTAAAAAAACCACACAGTTGAGGAAACACGCAGCCATAAAGTATTTTAGAAATGCCATATTAAATATTAACTGACAAGCAACATAGCCACAGTAGTTTATGTCACTCTGCACTGGACAGCAAACCTAGAAAACTAAGGAATAGAAAGAGTAAATTTATACAAACTTAATCTGCTACAGGATGAGTTAGAGGACTTGGGAAGACCAACCACCACTCAGGCGCATTTTAAATAAAGCCAATATCCGATCATTAAGAGTGTAGGGGAGGAGGGAGTATCCTGAGTAATGGGAAAATCCATTATCAGTGTTACTGGGTGTGCTGGTGAGTGCAGGGCCAAGACAGCCAGCACTCACCCCGTCTTGCCAGCTCAGCACACTCCTTGTTGGCAGAGATGCCTCCCTGCGGAGCAGCCCAGCTTGCCTGAGGCTGGAGGGCTCACGGCCAGCAGAACTGCCTGCAGAGAAGTCATACAGGGCCTGGAACCTCAAAAAAGGGAGAAAATTATATCAAACCTCAAGCTGAGAAAATTCTGTATATATAAAAGCCCTCAGGAGTGCATGCCATTGTTCACAGTGACGCAGCAGTACAATCAGCAAGTGACTTAATACATACACAGGTCCATACGTTGCAAGCCCAAGTTCTAACAAAGTATAGAACTGGCAAAATAATTAACCAATTTATGTGACCCTTTGAGTAATTCAGATTATTCTCAGACCATGTGCCAAAAAATCTGGGGCAAGGAAGGGTGAAATCTCACATGCAAAGCACAATCAGCTTTCCCTGCACTCACAACTGCTCCTCTGTTCTTCAAAACCAGCGTCAAGAGAATTGCACAGAGAGCCTTGCGCAGAGCAGGACACTGAAGTAGAGCCCCCCTCCACGCAACAGCCCAGGCAGCTCGACAGGATTCGGCCGGCATGGCGCCCAGCACTGCTGGGTCTCGGGAGTCCTTTCAGAGCAGTTCTGCTCCGTATCCCTGCCTGAGGGCTCCTGGTGAAACCACACAGCTATGCATCACACATCCAGTGCAGGAGACAGAAAATCTCTGCTTTGCTGCTCTGTGTCCAACAAGCATAGGAGGACTGTGAAGAAGGTAAGCATTAATAAACGGAGAGGTGCTAAGGAAGCAATCAGCTTCCATCTCAATCTTATCCAGCCCTGGCAGCAAGTTTTGTCAAATGTCAGTACTTAACAGAGACGGAGTTCCAAAGAGGAAGTTTCAGCCCAAACAGAGAACTTGCCACTTTGATTTATTAAATAGGGGCTGGGGGAAGCACACACACAGGAAAAGCATCACTTTTGTTGGTATATTTTAGTACAAAGGAAAAGGAGGTGAATTTAAAAGCAAAATAAAGTGAAACTTGTGCATTACTTACTATAATCAGTGTGGATCTCATCTATTTCTTCCTCTGTCTGGTTCTTTGTGAATGTCAAGCTCTACAGAAATCAAACAAATGTTTATTTACAGAAACACAAATATGATAAAGCTGCATACTTTAAAACTAGACACTTTAAACTGGAAGAAGGATCAACTGTCTGTTTTTTCCCCCACCCGCTCTCACCATCTCACCTGCAGACAGCAGTATATATTTAAAGTACGCACACATGGCTGTCTTGCTTTGCTTTCACAGAGTCAACAGGACTAAGCCAAGCCATCCCATCTCACATCCAGCATGTGTGACCATGAAATACTTCCTAACACCATGCAACAAACATGCTCTGAAAGTCACAAAAGTATCATATGTCATGGGAAAAGACAAGTGCTATTGGAAACAAGGAATTTGCTAGCTAAATCCTAGAGAATTCTAGGAAGCAAAACATTCCCCACACTGCCATGGAGGGTCAAAATCCTCCAATACAACCAAGGGGAACATTTCTCAAGAATTTTTATTGCAATCAAAACAATGCTCCTACTTAAATGGCTTGGGCATAGAAACATCAACAGCACACGAAGAATTGCCCACGACAAACGAGCAGTATGAGAAAATAATGTTGATTTTAAGATAATATACATGAATTCCAACGTGCAACCCAGGAATCTGGGAATTCCCATAATAAAGCAATAGGCAAACATGTTCAGTGCCCACTCTGCAACTTCTCCTCTTTGAGAACAAAGATAATTAGCTTACATTTTCACCGGATTTATTAAATTCAAGCTGAACCCGAATCTTCTCATTCTTTTCCAGCTCTTTAACAACCTCTGCAACTGTTTGAAAAGACAAGAAAGGGATCACTAAAACAGGACCTGTTAAATAAAAAGATGTAACAGCACTGAATGAAACTACCATGAATTTAAATCAAAAGGAGACAAAGCAGCATTAGCTCTCCAAGAGCAAAAACCCGGACTCCAGTGACAGGCAGACCCAAACACCACAGGTTTACACGCTGCTCGGCGGGCGTTTGCTCACGCAGAGGAACCGCTCCCACCCGCAGAGGCTGAGCAGCAGAGGCAGTGCCCAGGACCCAGGACCCGGAGGCAAGGCTGGGAGCTGTGGCCTTGGCCGAGGTGCACTTGCCGGCAGCTGGCACCCGGCCGCCTCCTGGGCCGCTGCTCTCATTTGCTTTGTATTAAATCCACGGGAAAATACAGTCTTTTCAAATCTTATTTGAATCTCACTCTAGCATGCTATAGCGTTTCTGTGGTGCACAGGCATGCCTTTTATAAAAAGTTTCCATTTCATAATGTATCTTTCAATGGAAGATAAAATAACGACATCTCCTGTTTATCTTACTTTTACCTCCAAGGACTGCCTTCCAAGGCAACACAAAACTGTCTGCAGGCTTGTGTCCAAAACCCATAGTCCAAAGATGAATTACAACCTACTCGAAAGATTAAGCCATACACCTCAAAAGCATATAAACAGACATAACTGTGGTTGTTTACATTCTGACTAAAACCACAGCTATGCAGGACCCTGCATGGTTTATTTTGACATTTACTTTTACAAATCTGTTTCTACACTTAATCATTTTCACAGAGCTGCTAGGTAGCTATGGGTATTTATTAAAACAAACACTTTCACTAGACAGTAAAGTAGCCAGAGAACAAAAGTTTATTAAGCTGTGAAGGAATAAAACCTGTTGAAAACTGGGTTAAGCAAAATCCAGGAGTTTGGCACCTGTGCTTCCTCAGAAGCTCAGCTATTTGTATTATATAGTGACCTTTGGGTCACTGTTACCACTGAAAATCCATGTCTGCACCTTAGTGCGAGTTTAATAATTCACCCTTTATAAATAGGTATTGAGCCAGAACTCAGTAGGAGTTTTGCATTATTTAGGGCAGACCAGCTAAAGGACATCGTAACACACAGCGAAACCCTTCGCTGAGCTAGCCTGCGTGAACAACGCCGACAGAGACCTAGCGCTACTTCACCACCAGCATCACGTGAAGAATCGCCCCAAGAGCCGAGTCCCTCCAGCACGTTCCAGGACTGACGGAGAACCGCCTGTTCTGCACAGCGTCGATTCTCGCACGCCTGGAGCGGGTGCGAGGCTCCGGTCGAGCCAGCCTCCACTTCTCCCGCCGACCTTGCTGCAGTACGACGGCAGCGGCGCAACCCCACGACCCTTCCTTTGCCCTCACCCCGAGCTGCGCAGCTCCCGACCGGCCCGCTCCGCACGTGACTTCAGAACTGCTCCGCTCCTGTTCAGCCATGGACACGAGCGTACCTCCGTGGCCTACGGCAGCTTTACGTCTGCTCCTGCGGCTGGGGGAACTCGGACAGGGGCTTTGAGAGTGCTTAATTAAATTTCCAAGATTAACACAAATCATAGCGTGATTGAAATTCTGACACAAGTGCTATTCTCACAGACTTAAACAACAAACTTCTTAAACTTCCACCGATGCTGAAGTCAAATACAATCTTAACTGTGTGTGCTGGTTCTCATCCCAGAGACTTCCTGAAGTCCTAGGAAACAATTTTTGAAAGCGTTTATGTTTATTTTCGGAAGTGCTTAGGCACAAACTTCTCAGTGACACTTGGCCCCTAAATCACTTAGGCACTTAACCTTCTTAGTCAGGTTCTTAAAATGGTTAAAGGAGCAAAATGAAAAACCAAATAGCCTTGGTTGCAAACTCGCTTTTCTCATACACTTGCTCCCACAATCCAAGCCAAGAGCTGGCAAGTGAAATCAAGATTTCAAAAAGCAGAAGCCTAAAGTCTGGCTGCTAAATTCCTATTTATAGCCCTCACTGACTGACTTTACTTTTCACAAAGTACATATGGTGGTACTGCCTCTTTAATAAAGAGTGGAACACCAAAACCATACTTTATTTTTGAAACACCACGGTAGCAGTGTGGATATTCAGCATTTCCAACTGCCTGATCACATAGAAGGCCACATGTGCATGGAGTTAACACATGAACTTTTAATTTTCACTTGAAATAAAAGCTCCCTATACTGTCAAAGCTGTTAAATGACAACTAATAAACGAAGTGGGTTTTACTGTGGTTAAATTTGGCAGCCTTCTCCAAGGGTACCTCTCAACCTGGCCCCAAGTTATTGCCATTACAGATAAGCAACAAATAGCAAACGTAAAGTTTACCTGCACACCGCACTGGCACGCTGCCTGACCCACGGAGATGCCGGACCCAGCTCTGCACGAGCCGCTGCCCTGCCTGCGCTGCCCTGCCTGCGCTGCCCTGCCTGCGCTGCCCTGCCCTGCCTGCTCATTCGGTTCCCAACAGTCCCACTGCCAGCGAGACCAAAAGTTTATCTGTTCCAAATAGTTTCTGAGCCCTTCGATACACACAAAACCATTCAGAATCATTAACAACATCTGGGAGAAATGGTGAACTTGTGTTTCAGGACTTAAGTTTCTCTGTAAATATGAAAATTAAAGAGATCAAACTGAGCGTGAGGAACAGTATTTCTCATCTCTCTGCCTTTGAAGTAACCAGCAGCAGGACCGACCTATGCTACAGTCCTACCAGATAGCAAGCTGCATCCTGCAACCAGTGTAGAAAATGAAATACCAGCTATATGAGAATTTCCAGGACACTAACGGCTGTGCAGCTCCCAGGAGAGTAATATCAGAACATGATCACGTTAGAAAGTCCTTTAAAAGGACTGTTTGCCATAAGCTTCTAAGTAAATAAAAAATTAATGTAACTATAAATCTGATGTCTCTCTCTCACCCGCACATGCTGGTGTATTTGTGCTGTTAACTTGCATCACTTGCAGAGCTGAATTGAGACATGACAAATGACACATCTTTAAAAAAGATGTATGCTTTCATCTTGTAGAAAATAGAATATAACAAGATGAGCTGGGACAATTCTCCCTCTAGCTCATACATGCTATCAAAAATTTAAAACGTGGCCACACTGCCTACAAAACCAGGCAGCACAAATACCGTCTTGGATCTCATCCTCCCTCTTCCAGGCATTTTCTAAGCCTTAAGCCTGAGCACATGCAAACAACAGACTGCTGTTTAAAAGAAGTTTATATTGCACTCACATGAGAGACTAAAACACATTCTCCTTATCCCATACAGCTGTTTAATGCTAAATATAGTCTGAGTTTAATTGTATTAAATTGCTGCCAAACAAACACCTAAATTGATATAAACTCCAGCAACACTAACACATTCTTATTAATTCATTCTAGCCTTTCCTATCATCTCCAAAAAGAAATCTCATTTTGAAATTAAATCCAACAAAAATATAGAAGTCTCAGTGTATAGAAGAAAGAGAACAAAGTCAGAACAAAAGACAAATTAATAATCCATTCACTCCTAAGAACCTCAGGTATTTCCGATATTTTTTCACTAAAAGCCTCGGAGTCTAATTTGGAGGCACTCCATTATAATGAGCTCCAGTTTTCCCAAGTTTTCAAACCAGTCTTATTCCTATCCAAGAACGAAGAGGAGAAACACATACAAATAGTTGGCGATGGTAACAACTTTCCCAGAATTTCTAATTTACCTGATTTGGGATTTAGAGAATCACACTGAGCATTATACATGTGCACAAATTCTTGGTGTCTCTTAATGAGCTGTTGTCGGGTCCCGTGGGTAGACAGACCATGCTCCTTTAGTTTCTTCTTCAAATCACGTTCCGAGAGCAAGTTGTAAACAACTTTAGACATAGGCTTCCTTTTGTGAGTAGAACTGCAAAAGGAAAAAGAAACAAACTTTTTTTAATTAATACTCCTATGAAAAGCAAAATACTGGCTCATATTTTTACAGGGTATTTCACCCATACTGGGTAAGAAACACCGGAAAGAATCATTTCAGCCATGACAGACTCAAAACCAGTTACACAGTGTATCACAGATGTAACAGCTCCTGGAAACACTTCTTCCATCTACCACAAAGAAAATTTCAACCATGCAGAAAGCAATAGGTCTAGTCTGGTTTTCTTTAGGACATGATGCAAACACTACTCATGTGACAAGTACTGCGGCTGAGGTTTTAATATCTACAGCAAAAGCTTCGAAATCACATCAGCAAACACAGTATGGTTCATCTTCATTAGGATCAAGGCTTACACTCGCTCGGAATTCAAAAGGAAGTGTACTGCATTCAGACTGCTGAAACACGGGTTTTCCGCCCACATACTGGCCATGTCTTACCTGAACCAGTTGGTGAAGTTTTAAAAGCATTAAAGCTGCAATCCAAAACTTGAATTAGGACATTCTTCTGGGAAAATGACTTTGAGAAAGACAGTCATGTACCTGAAAGCAAATCTGTAGTTCCCACCTAACAGAAGGGTAGTTTGGTAACACAGAAAGTAACAGTAAAGAGAATTAATAGTGCTGCTCTCAGATGAACAGCATTGAAACCCAAAGTTTACTCCTTCAACTGCCTTATGTCAGAAGAGCTCAACATTCCTGGCATAGCTAGGGAAAACATCTTAGTTACAGGAAACTGCCATAGAAAATTCAAGTCCTACTACAGCTTTTGTCATCTAAAATTAGCAGAACAGTTTCCTTCT